ATGGATGATGGATGGATGGATGATGGATGATGGATGGATGGATGATGGATGGATGGATGGATGATGGATGATGGATGGATGATGGATGATGGATGATGGATGGAAGGATGTTGGATGGATGGATGATGGATGGATGATGGATGATGGATGGATGATGGATGGATGGATGATGGATGGATGGATGGATGGATGGATGGATGGATGATGGATGGAAGGATGATGGATGGATGGATGATGGATGGATGATGATGGATGGATGGATGGATGATGTGATGGATGATGGATGATGGATGGATGGATGATGGATGGATGATGGATGGATGATGGATGGATGGATGGATGGATGATGGATGGATGGATGATGGATGGATGGATGGATGATGGATGATGGATGGATGATGGATGATGGATGATGGATGGAAGGATGATGGATGATGGATGGATGGATGATGGATGGATGATGGATGATGGATGGATGGGCAATGGATGATGGATGATGGACAATGGGTGGATGGATGATGGAGATGGGACAGAGGGATGTCCGGCTCCGGGCCACGCTGACGGTCGCGGGCAGGACTTCCTGTCGGACATGGCCATGACGGAGGTGGATCGTTTCATGGACCGGGAGCACCTGATCTTCCGGGAGAACACCTTGGCCACCAAAGCCATCGAGGAGTACCTGAAGCTCATCGGCCAGAAATACCTCAAGGACGCCATTGGTGAGTGCCAGCAGCACCGGGGGCACCAGTGGGGGCGTGGCCTCTGTGGCAGGGGTGTGGTGGGGTGGCTGGTCCCACTCGTGGCCATCAGATGTTTGGGTGGTTCCTTCTCATGTGGTCATTGGCTGGTCCCACTTTCTGCCGTGCCATGGTTGGGTGGCTCCTTGTGGTCATGAGGTGGTTGGGTGGTCCCTACTCACAGCCGGGTTCCATCACCACCATCATGAGGTCATTGGGTGGTCCTACAGATGGCCATGACAAGGCCCCTTCCTGTGGTCATGGCATGCTTGGGTGGTCCCCACTCATGGCCATGAGGTCATTGGGTGGTGCCCAGTCACGTCCAAGTTCCATCACCACCATCACGAGATCTTGGGTGGTCCCCATTCACGGTCACGTTCCATCACCACCATCACAAGATCTTGGGTGGTCCTCACTCATGGCCAGGTTCCATCACCACCACCACGAGATCTTGGGTGGTTTCTTCTCATGCCCATGAGATTTTTGGGTGGTTCCAGGTTCCAGCACCATCATCATGAGGCCATTGGATGGTCCCTACTCACAGTCACGTTCCATCACCAGCATCCCATGGTCGTGTTCCATCACCATTGTGAGATCCTTGGGTGATCCAGGTCCATCACCACCATCATGAGATCTTTGGGTGGTTCCAGGTTCCACCACCATCATCATGAGATCTTTGAGTGATCCCCACTCATGGCCATGAGGTCATTGGATGGTCCCTACACATGGTCACGTTCCTTCACCACCATCACGAGATCTGTGTTCCCCATTCACGGTCACGTTCCATCACCATCATCAAGAGATCCTTCAGCGTTTCAAGATTCCATCACCATCATCACGAGGTCTTTGGTCCCCACTTTTGGTCACGTTCCATCACCACCATCATGCACTCTTTGGGTGGTCCCCATTCACAGTCACGTTCCATCACCACCGTCATGAGATTTTCATTCCCCACCCATGGTCACGTTCCATCACCATCACAAGATCTTTGGGTGGTTCCCACCCATGGTCACGTTCCATCACCACCATCACGAGATCTTTGAATGGTTCCAGTTTCCATCACCACCATCACGAGATCCTTGGGTGGTCCCCATTCACGGTCACGTTCCTTCACCACCATCACGAGATCTTCATTCCCCACCCATGGTCACGTTCCATCACCATCACCACGAGATCTTTGGGTGGTCTCCATTCACAGTCATGTTCCATCACCACCATCATGAGATCTTCATTCCCCACCCACGGTCACGTTCCATCACCACCATCACGAAATCTTTGGGTGGTCTCCATTCACAGTCATGTTCCATCACCACCACCACAAGACCTTTGTTCCCCACCCACGGTCACGTTCCATCACCACCATCACGAGATCTTCATTCCCCACCCACGGTCACGTTCCATCACCACCATCACGAGATCTTTGGGTGGTCTCCATTCACAGTCTTGTTCCATCAATACCATCATCTCAAGACCTTTGGTTCCCACCCATGGTCATGTTCCATCACCACCATCACGAGATCATCATTCCCCACCCATGGTCACGTTCCATCACCACCATCACGAGATCTTTGGGTGGTCTCCATTCACAGTCTTGTTCCATCAATACCACCACAAGACCTTTGTTCCCCACCCACGGTCACGTTCCATCACCACCATCACGAGATCTTCATTCCCCACCCACGGTCACGTTCCATCACCACCATCACGAGATCTTTGGGTGGTCCCTTCTCACACCCAGGACACGATTGTGTCCCTTCTCCCCCTCGCCGTCCCCGTGGGCGTCCCCGCGCGGCCCCGCCCGCGCCGCAGGCGAGTTCATCCGCGCGCTCTACGAGTCGGAGGAGAACTGCGAGGTGGACCCCATGAAGTGCTCGGCCTCCACGCTGGCCGACCACCAGGCCAACCTGCGCATGTGCTGCGAGCTGGCGCTCTGCAAGGTGGTCAACTCCCACTGGTGAGCGCGGCGGGCGGGGGGCGCGT